CTTCTTAATAAACAACACCGGAGCACCCCAAGGCTAAGTGTTCGGTCGGATAAATTTCTTGTCTAGTAATTCTTGGAGTTGGACCTTTAATTTCTCAATTCAGTAATTGACATTCAGTATGGGGTTTTAGAAATCGCTTGTGTCTCGGGTACAACATCAATGGTAAACTCAATTTCCCTATCAATTAAGTCTCCGAGTAAATCATTTGGAAAGACATCAGGAAATTCATTAACCGCAGGTATAGTTTCCACACTAGGAATATCTAAAGACTCAGTCATTACACAACATAAGTAGCCCCGACACCTTTTTCTTAACAGCTTCTTGGCCTTCATAAATGAAATCAAGTACGGTGAAGAAATTGCCCCATTCCCAGTAAAGACAAACTCAGGATCACCTTGTGGTCGAAACACAACAGATTTACTCACATAGTCAATGGTGGCATAGTATTTAGTTAACCAATCCATACCTAGAATACAATCAAAATGATAAATGGTCAAGGGCAACAAATCAACATACAATGTCATATCACCAATCATAATATCACATGCCGGATAAACTTAAGCACATATCATAGAACCTCTAGACAATGTAGACATAGATAGCAAACAGTTCATAGGTTATAACGGTCTAGTTAATTTTCAAGAAATAGCATGCGATAAAAATGAATGCGTAGAACCAGAATCAATCAGCACATAGGCATTCTGAGCACAGATAGAAATTATACTCGACACCACTGACTCAGTATTCTGTGCATCCCCAGGTACTAGTGTAAACACTCTTCCTTGCCTTAGCGTTTCATTCCCGGTGTTACCATTGGTATTAGTTCTTGCATTGGTTCTCGTTACAGGAGCAGATTCGGCTGAACTTGTTGTCAGATGGTTAGCATTGTCGAATCTTAGTGGACAATCTCTAATCATGTGGCTAGTCTTGCCACACCGAAAACAAGTGCCAGATGCCAGGTAGAACGTGCCTTTATGCTTCCTTCTATATTCTGATCAAGCTGACATAGACCCACTGCTTTGGCTTGAACTGCTAGAAGATCTAGTATTTTGCTTTTTGTTGGTAAAAGATGAACGGCATTTCCGAAAGTCAGATCCAGGTCTTTTACCTCTCTATTCTGTTGTTGGACCTGGAACTTGTTTCTTTGCTGCTAGAATGGCTTCCACCATCAATGCTTTATCAAGTACTTCCACGTATATAGGCAACTTTAAAATGCCTACCTTATCAAACACGTCCAAATCCAAACCCCCTTCGAATTTTCGTGCCTTCTTGTAGTCAGTACCCACTATGTGGGGAGCAAACTGGGCCAACTCGGTGAATTTAGCCTCATACTCAGCTACAGACATCTTGTCTTGCTTAAGTTCTTGGAATTCAGAAACTTTTCAGTCCCTGAAGCGCTGAGGAAAATACTTGTAATAAAAAAAATTCGTTGAATCGAGCCCATGTCATGTTTCCATTGCTATTCCATATCAGTAAACACTATCTTTGAGCTTCATCTTTTAAAGTATAGATGGCCAAAAGAACTTTTTGTGTCTCAGGACAAGGAAACACTTCAAACAACTTCTCCATTTCGAGCAACCAGGTTTCTGCCTTTAAGGGTTCAATGCCACCGAAGAAAGTTGGTGGTTTCATCTTCATAAACTTCTCAGTCAGGTTGATAATGTCATTGTTGTCCAGGTCAACTTGGACCGATGGAAGTGGAGGGGGTAAAGGTTGTTGCCTATGTTGTTGCGTCATAGTTTCAATCAAAGTTGCAAGCATCTGTTCCATATGGCTCATTCAGGCCTCAGAGGATTCAATGGCATCATTACTTCTTGTATTTTCCATTGCTATATGTAAACAAAGCACTAATAAACATAGGCAAATAGTCTCTTTCACAATGTTCAAATCATTCATTTCAATTTCATGTGCTCATGGTCAAGTTTAGTTTTCACATTTACAGAGATTAATATACACACTCACATATGCATATGAGATGCCCCTACTTCTTACTAGGACATCGTATAGCTTATATGGACTCATGTGTGCGGTATAACATGTGCTCTGATACCACTGTATCACGACCCAAACCCACCCCTAAAGGTTTAGTGTCATAACCGGTTAGTAATCCTTGGATTATCGAAGGCATCCGAACAAAATTAGAAAATATAAGAGGCAGAGGAAACAAATACATATAACTTACATAGTCCATTGAGCTGTGTAGACATACATGAGACATATAATTTTAAACTTTATAAACACACTTGTGACGTCATAAAAAAGACATTAGTCATACATCATTTCCATAGACAGATAAAACAAAAGGGGGACTTAGCCCAATGTACTAATAAACAAGTACTTGTTGTTATACCAAAAAGAAAACAGATATTAAAAACTTTGACCACAAAAACTTGACTTCTCAAAGGAAACCTCCCTGGGAGGAATAGTGGCTGGCTGACCTAACTCTCCAGGAAACAACTTAGGCCTGGTCATATGCTTACTCACATACATAAATAATATAAATAGTAAGCGAAAGCCCTGCAAATAATAACAAAGTAAAGGGTTAAATGAATGATACCCCATGATTAATTCAGTAAACATAAATAGATTCATATGCACATTCTTGTTCAAGTCTTAAATAAAAATCTAAGTTCGTGTTTAATCTTACATTGTACATCCGTTAGCGCTAACAGATCACATACAAGGCATCAAGGGTCATACTTGTCAGTTCCATATAAAAACCTCCGACCGGGTACAGATAACTTGTTAGTTCCATAAGGCACCTCTGGACTGGGAATAGATAACTTCTCAATTCCACAAAAGAACCTTCGGCCGAGTATAGATAACTTGTCAGTTCCATAAGGAACCTCTGGACCGACAGCAGATAACATACTTGAGCCACAGAATTGTTGCGACGAAAACTTGTCAGAAATTGGACAATCATTCATTGGACAGAACATTACATTTCATAAAACCAACTTTATTTCATATATAGAAAATAAATAGGGTTGAACATAGCTTTACAAAGTTATTACTCACAGATGGATCCGAAAGTAGACAAAAAGAATAGGCAAATCAGATATCTTGTGGCACGTGACCTACACAATTACAGAACGAATACATATTGAATTACATACCCGGGATCATTAACTTAGCTCGTTCTTATCTTGGTGTGTTTCTATTTCGTATCCTCATTATTATGTCTTAAACTTGGACTAGGAGTGCCTAGGATGCAATGAGGATGTTAAAATGCACTTGAAAACACTTAACAAAACTTGTTGAAAACAGGAGTCTTGTTCGAGCGCAACTTCCTTCGCTCGAGCAGAAGCCCAAACATGTGAGTGGTAGCTCGAGCACAACTTCCTTTGCTCAAGCGGTTTGTAAACTCTGCAAAAGTAGTAGTTGCTTGATTTTTCCGTTCGACGTATGCTCGATGGTCGCTCGAGTGTGTGACTAAGATCTTCGCTCAAGCGCAACTCTTGTCGCTCGAGCGGCCTACAAAACATGTAAACTTCTTGGAGCATGTAATTTATGCTTAACCAACTTTTGGTCACTCGAGTAGGGGTGCAAAAACAAATGTGGTCGCTCTAGCATAGGATTTGTCGCTCGAATGGATAGGTTGAATTCTGGAATTTCCAAATTGCACTCCCAAGTCCAAAACTCAAATTCAAAGCTGTAATTCACATCCTTTTGGGCCCAAAACTTGAGGAAACAAATGTAGGCTTGTAAAACATTGTGAATTCAAAAGCATTTCGCAAAATCAAGCCCAAAAGCTTTGCCAATTGGACTAAACCAAACTTGAAATGGTGAAAACAATAACATGCATGCATTAATTCATGTTCTACACTTTGAAAGCATGATCAAATAATGTCAAATGATGTGAAATGAGACTTATTGTCAAAACCATACTAGAATGAACACATGCATGTATTAATTTCTTGGAAACAACCTCAAAACATGATAATGTCTAAGCCCAATTCTAGCATTACACAACTTAATTCTTTGAATTCATGTGCTAAGTGACTCAATTTCAAAGGTACAAGGTTGAATTCTTACCTTAGATCATCAATTATGCTCTAAATAGTTAATTGTGTGAAGTATCAAGCTAATTCCAAGTTCTCCAGCAATTCCTTTGTTTGAATTCAACTCTCTCGCTTAGTCTCTCTCTCTCTCTCTCTCTCTCTCTACACATTTTTAAGCTCAAGGAAGAGGAAATGAGAGTGAAAAGTGTCTAAGAGGTGTTGGGGGTGGCCTTATATAGGTTTGTTTAGGGAATTAATTAAACTTGCATTAATCTAAGCAAAGACCATTAATTTAATCTAATTAAATAGCTCGAAATTGAATTTCAATTAATCCTATCATAAAATTCTAAAAATTTCAAATAACACATAAATCAAGTCAATTTCGCGATGGGATGCCGATAAGGCCTTCTATTCACATATCAAAGCAGAAATACAGACAGATATTTCTACGACAAACAGATAGAAACACAAATAATGCAATGCACATGTAATTAACTCAGGATTTCTTCTTAATTGCTTATTAGGCATACTTATGGGTTGTTTGGGACGATCTAAATAAGTGCACTTTTTGACTTTTTATGAAATATGGGTTGGGTTTGAAGTGATGTGGTAGAGAGGTGATGTGACTTAAATATGCGTTCGTTACCCCAAATGGCATGACTAAAAATTCATAATGTCCGTATCTGGTTCGGAAAGCGGTTTTCTCAATGTCTTTTGCCTTAACTCTCAATTGATGATAACTCGATCTAAGGTCAATTTTGGAAAATACTTGGGCTCCTTGGAGTTGATCAAACAAATCATCTATTTGGGGCAAAGGGTACTTATTTTTGATAGTCACTCCATTCAAATCCCAATAGTCTATACATAATCTTAAGGACCTGCCTTTCTTCTTAATAAACAACACCGGAGCACCCCAAGGCTAAGTGTTCGGTCGGATAAATTTCTTGTCTAGTAATTCTTGGAGTTGGACCTTTAATTTCTCAATTCAGTAATTGACATTCAGTATGGGGTTTTAGAAATCGCTTGTGTCTCGGGTACAACATCAATGGTGAACTCAATTTCCCAATCAATTAAGTCTCCGAGTAAATCATTTGGAAAGACATCCGGAAATTCATTAACCGCAGGTATAGTTTCCACACTAGCAATATCTAAAGACTCAGTCATTACACAACATAAGTAGCCCCGACACCCTTTTCTTAACAACTTCTTGGCCTTCATAAATGAAATCAAGTACGGTGAAGAAACTGCCCCATTCCCAGTAAAGACAAACTCAGGATCACCTTGTGGTCGAAACACAACAGATTTACTCACATAGTCAATGGTGGCATAGTATTTAGTTAACCAATCCATACCTAGAATACAATCAAAATGATAAATGCTCAAGGGCAACAAATCAACATACAATGTCGTATCACCAATCATAATATCACATGCCGGATAAACTTAAGCACATATCATAGAACCTCTAGACAATGTAGACATAGATAGCAAATAGTTCATAGGTTATAATGGTCTAGTTAATTTTCGAGAAATAGCATGCGATAAAAATGAATGCGTAGAACCAGAATCAATCAGCACATAGGCATTCTGAGCACAGATAGAAATTATACCCGACACCACTGACTCAGTATTCTGTGCATCCCCAGGTACTAGTGTAAACACTCTTCCTTGCCTTAGCGTTTCATTCCCGGTGTTACCATTGGTATTAGTTCTTGCATTGGTTCTCGTTACAGGAGCAGATTCGGCTGAACTTGTTGCAGAACGATTAGCATTGTCTAATCTCAGCGGACAATCTCCAATCATGTGGCCAGTCTTGCCACACCGAAAACAAGTGCCAGATGCACGGTAGAACGTGCCTTTATGCTTCCTTCTACATTCTGATCAAGCTGACATATACCCACTGCTTTGGCTTGAACTGCTAGAAGATCTAGTATTTTGCTTTTTGTTGGTAAAAGATGAACGGCCTTTCCGAAAGTCAGATCCAAGTCTTTTACCTCTCTATTCTGTTGTTGGACCTGGAACTTGTTTCTTTGCTGCCGGAATGGCTTCCACCATCAATGCTTTATCAAGTACTTCCACGTATATAGGCAACTTTAAAACGCCTACAATATCAAACACGTCCAGATCCAAACCCCCTTCGAATTTTCGTGCCTTCTTGTAGTCAGTATCCACCATGTGGGGAGCAAACTGGGCCAACTGGTGAATTTAGCCTCATACTCAGCTACAGACATCTTGCCTTGCTTAAGTTCTTGGAATTCAGAAACTTTTCAGTCCCTGAAGAGCTGAGGAAAATACTTGTAATAAAAAAATTCGTTGAATCGAGCCCATGTCATGTTTCCATTGCTATTCCATATCAGTAACCACTATCTTTGAGCTTCATCTTTTAAAGTATAGGTGGCCAAAAGAACTTTTTGTGTCTCAGGACAAGGAAACACTTCAAACAACTTCTCCATTTCGAGCAACTAGGTTTCTGCCTTTAAGGGTTCAATGCCACCCAAGAAAGTTGGTGGTTTCATCTTCATAAACTTCTCAGTTAGGTTGATAATGTCATTGTTGTCCAGGTCAACTTGGACCGATGGAGATGGAGGGGGTAAAGGTTGTTGCCTAAGTTGTTGCGTCATAGTTTCAGTCAAAGTTGCAAGCATCTGTTCCATATGGCTCATTCAGGCCTCAGAGGATTCAATGGCATCATTTACTTCTTGTATTTTCCATTGCTATAGGTAAACAAAGCACTAATAAACATAGGCAAATAGTCTCTTTCACAATGTTCAAATCATTCATTTCAATTTCATGTGCTCATGGTCAAGTTTAGTTTTCACATTTATAGAGATTAATATACACACTCACATATGCAGATGAGATGCCCCTACTTCTTACTAGGACATCGTATAGCTCATATGGACTCGTGTGTGCGGTATAACATGTACTCTGATACCACTGTATCACGACCCAAACCCACCCCTAAAGGTTTAGTGTCATAACCGGCCAGTAATCCTTGGATTACCGAAGGCATCCGAACAAAATTAGAAAATATAAGAGGCAGAGGAAGCAAATACATTATACCAAAAAGAAAACAGATATTAAAAACTTTGACCACAAAAACTTGACTTCTCAAAGGAAACCTCCCTGGGAGGCATAGTGGCTGGCTGACCTAACTCTCCAGGCAACAACTTAGGCCTGGTCATATGCTTACTCACATACATACATAATATAAATAGTAAGCGAAAGCCCTGCAAATAATAACAAAGTAAAGGGTTAAATGAATGATACCCCATGATTAATTCAGTAAACATAAATAGATTCATATGCACATTCTTGTTCAAGTCTTAAATAAAAATCTAAGTTCGTGTTTAATCTTACATTGTACATCCGTTAGCGCTAACAGATCACATACAAGGCATCAAGGGTCATACTTGTCAGTTCCATATAAAAACCTCCGATCGGGTACAAATAACTTGTTAGTTCCATAAGGCACCTCTGGACTGGGAATAGATAACTTCTCAATTCCACAAAAGAACCTTCGGCCGAGTATAGATAACTTGTCAGTTCCATAAGGAACCTCTGGACCGAGAGCAGATAACATACTTGAGCCACAGAATTGTTGCGACGAAAACTTGTCAGAAATTGGACAATCATTCATTAGACAGAACATTACATTTCATAAAACCAACTTTATTTCATATATAGAAAATAAATAGGGTTGAACATAGCTTTACAAAGTTATTACTCACAGATGGATCCGAAAGTAGACAAAAAGAATAGGCAAATCAGATATCTTGTGGCACGTGACCTACACAATTACCGAACAAATATGTATTGAATTACATACCCGGGATCATTAACTTAGCTCGTTCTTATCTTGGTGTGTTTCTATTTCGTATCCTCATTATTATGTCTTAAACTTGGACTAGGAGTGCCTAGGATGCAATGAGGATGTTAAAATGCACTTGAAAACACTTAACAAAACTTGTTGAAAACAGGAGTCTTGTTCGAGCGCAACTTCCTTCGCTCGAGCAGAAGCCCAAACATGTGAGTGGTAGCTCGAGCACAACTTCCTTCGCTCAAGCGGTTTGTAAACTCTGCAAAAGTAGTAGTTGCTTGATTTTTCCGTTCGACGTATGCTCGATGGTCGCTCGAGTGTGTGACTAAGATCTTCGCTCAAGCGCAACTCTTGTCGCTCGAGCGGCCTACAAAACATGTAAACTTCTTGGAGCATGTAATTTATGCTTAACCAACTTTTGGTCACTCGAGTAGGGGTGCAAAAACAAATGTGGTCGCTCTAGCATAGGATTTGTCGCTCGAATGGATAGGTTGAATTCTGGAATTTCCAAATTGCACTCCCAAGTCCAAAACTCAAATTCAAAGCTATAATTCACATCCTTTTGGGCCCAAAACTTGAGGAAACAAATGTAAGCTTGTAAAACATGGTGAATTCAAAAGCATTTCGCAAAATCAAGCCCAAAAGCTTTGCCAATTGGACTAAACCAAACTTGAAATGGTGAAAACAATAACATGCATGCATTAATTCATGTTCTACACTTTGAAAGCATGATCAAATAATGTCAAATGATGTGAAATGAGACTTATTGTCAAAACCATACTAGAATGAACACATGCATGTATTAATTTCTTGGAAACAACCTCAAAACATGATAATGTCTAAGCCCAATTCTAGCATTACACAACTTAATTCTTTGAATTCATGTGCTAAGTGACTCAATTTCAGAGGTACAAGGTTGAATTCTTACCTTAGATCATCAATTATGCTCTAAATAGTTAATTGTGTGAAGTATCAAGCTAATTCCAAGTTCTCCAACAATTCCTTTGTTTGAATTCAACTCTCTCTCTTAGTCTCTCTCTCTCTCTCTCTCTCTCTCCCTCTACACATTTTTAAGCTCAAGGAAGAGGAAATGAGAGTGAAAAGTGTATAAGAGGTGTTGGGGGTGGCCTTATATAGGTTTGTTTAGGGAATTAATTAAACTTGCATTAATCTAAGCAAAGACCATTAATTTAATCTAATTAAATAGCTCGAAATTGAATTTCAATTAATCCTATCATAAAATTCTAAAAATTTCAAATAACACATAAATCAAGTCAATTTCGCGATGGGATGCCGATAAGGCCTTCTATTCACATATCAAAGCAGAAATACAGACAGATATTTCTACGACAAACAGATAGAAACACAAATAATGCAATGCACATGTAATTAACTCAGGATTTCTTCTTAATTGCTTATTAGGCATACTTATGGGTTGTTTGGGACGATCTAAATAAGTGCACTTTTTGACTTTTTATGAAATATGGGTTGGGTTTGAAGTGATGTGGTAGAGAGGTGATGCAACTTAAATAAGATAGTGATTTTTTGGCTTTTTAGCTTTTTTAGGGGATGCCAAACCTAGCCTTAATCATGGCTTAATAGTAAATCATGGGTCGGGGTTGTTACAATGGGAGAGGCATTTGCCCTTAGTGGAGTTTGCCTATAACATTAGCTTCTAGTCGAGTATTGGCATGGCACTGTTTGAGGCCTTGTATGGTCGACCGTGTAGATTCCCTATGTGTTGGGCTAAAGTGGGTGATGCACCTTTGTTAGGCCCCGAGTTGGTTCAAAAAACGACTGAGAAAGTTGCACTTATCCGTAAGAGGTTGGTCACTACTCAGAGTCGCCAAAAGAGTTACGTCGACCGTAGGAGGAGACCCTTATCTTTTGAGGTGGGAGATCATGTCTTTTTGAAGATATCACCTAGGAAGGGTTTGATGAGGTTTGAAAAGAGCAGGAAGTTATCCCCTCTATTCATTGGGCCTTTTGAGATTCATGAGCGGATATGGGTGGTAGCCTACCGTTTAGCCTTGCCGCCACAACTTTCTGGGGTTCATAATGTGTTTCATATTAGTATACTTCGAAAGTATGAGCCAAATCCATCCTACATATTGGATTAGACCGACTTATGAGGAGAGACCGGTGAGGGTCTTGGATACTGGGGACCAAGTCTTGCGAGGCAAGACGATTCCCTTTGTTAAAGTATTATGGAAACATCACAGGGTTAAGGAAGCAACTTGGGAACATGAGTTGGAAATCCATGAGAAGTATCCAGTCTTGTTTGTTAATGTTTAAACATGTATTGTATTGTTATTATGTAAATGAAACATGGAAACATTGTATATGTTGTTTATGTTCGGAAATGCTAGTTTATTATAAATATTGTGTATGTTTTTGGAAATATGAATTGTATATTCAGTATTGAGAATTCGTTTATCATGTTGATGGGATTGAATGATCGGAGAATGGGTCATGGTGATGGAATTATATGATTATCATTATTGTAATTGGTTTTAACTTGGTTTTAAAACATGATTTCGAATTTCGGGGTCGAAATTCTTTAAAGGGGGATGATATAGTGATTCCAGTTTTGATCTAACCCATTTCATGCTCTTGAACTAGGGTTTTATGGTTTCTAAATGTTGTTCATAACTTTTCCTCTTTTAGCCTTACTTGAGTTTGGCTTTTGAGTTGGTTGGAGTATGTTTGGAATAGGTTGGTCGCTTAGTTTTTCAAACTTTTGTTCTCTAGATTTTTGCTCTTACGCTCGAGCGGCACTTCTTGCGCTCGAACGAGCTTTGCAAATTCTCAGTACTTTTGTAGGTCTACAAAACTACTGGGAGAGTGTATTCTACGCTCGAGTGGCATTTCCTATGCTCGAGCGGGTGGTTGCTCGAGTGGCCTTTCTTGCACTCGAGCATTGGTCTATTGTCTGCAAAACTACTAGTTGTGTGCATTCTGCACTTGAGCGTCACTTCTTGAGCTTAAGCAGTAATGCCCTTCTGTTTTGTGTCTTGGCACTTGAGCATCATTTCTCACACTCAAGCTGAACAACTTATTATGTCTAGCGCTTGAGCGTCACTTCTTGCACTCGAGCGGACTGTGCATATGTCAGTTCATAAAAAGGTCATTTTACATCATTTTTCACTTCTCTCTCTCTCTCTTTACTTTTCAAAAACCCTAGATCTAGAGTCTCTCTCTCTAAAACTCACATTCTCTCTACATTTTCACCTAGATCTACTGATCTCTCCACCCGTGTGCCTTTGTTAAAAAGGTAGTGTGCCTCAAGTTGGTCCGATTAAAGCTTGGTTTCGACATTTTTGAAGTTTCTTCATCTCTTCCATTGCTCTTCCAA